TGGATAGTATCAATGACTGATCAGATGTCTGAGATTGGACGGTTGGGTGAGTGAGATGAGTGATGAGGTTTGGTGTGATCTTTCCGGGGGCTCAGCGAGAGGTGGGAGTTGTCGAATGCCCCGATTGCGAAAACCGGTCCACGTGCTTATATACGGCACTAACCCGACAAGGCGTTAATCTGTGGCCATCGTCTTGGCTACAAGCCACTGAGGCTGTTCTCGTTAAAGCCACTCACGGAGGAGCCCGCGGGTCAACGCAGGCAACCTAACGGACACGTGGACGGCAGCTGGAGGTGCGTTTCCAACGCACTTGGAAGCCCATGGGTTCAGGAGACACAAATAATAGTTGGGGAGTTCCGTGAAGCGGTAGGTGATTTTTTGAGGCCTTCTCATGGTGTTGACGTGGCAAATTGCAGTCAAGGCACAAGAAAATTTGGTTTGTAATTGTCAAGAACATGATGATCGGCGACAGGACTTGTGAGTCTCCTGTTCTCCTGAGCCGCGGCTGAGAAGAGCATCCATCTCATAAAAACACGAGCCCAGCTCACCTTGAACGCCGAGTACAATCCTGTGGCCAGCGGTTCGGCTGCTGCACTATGCAAGCTGACTCCGGTCAAAACAAACCACCTGCTCATCGAGGGGCGCTTCGCGCCAGTCTGGCACCAGGCCCTCTGATCGAGGAACTTCATGTTGTTAAGTTAGCAAATTGGTGCACTCATTTGCACAATTCCAGCTGAACAAACATATTGATTGCGTGATTGTACTTGGGGTGGGGTTGTTGAGGATCAGTAGCCAGCTCCCAACTAATTTTTTGCCTTCTTCATGGTAGCGATGGCGAGCTGCTGGTCTCAACTTAAGTTTGTTAAAAGCAATGGATGTGCTTGTGATTGGTCAAGCTGTGATATTGTCTCAACCTGCCAACCTGGTCGGCATGTCGAGACGTTGCCCTGTCCCTCGAATTTGGACACAAATCATGGCACTCTCTTGGCTCCCGAGTTGATTTTCGCTATGAAAGGAGCTCTAAAGCCTGCAGAATTTCAAAAGTACATCGTGGGGATTCTTACCATCCACATCGGTGAAGAAATGAAAGACAAACGGCTTCTGCGTCTTTTTTCTCGACCACGCAGCCAAGATATCTATACAAATTTCTCACAGGACCCACATATAAATTATAATTCTACAAGTGCAACTTACTGACCGGCGGTGATTCTTGGTGATTGCCTCCTGGATCTCATTCCCTAATGAAGTCTGCACCTGTCGGCGGTGTGCCTATCCTTGAGAGTCTTCTCACCGCTGAGAAAGGGAGTTGAGATATGAAGGTTAATCGTGTTTGCTATGAAGTCAGGGGAATCTGGTACGTCGCTTTCTCTCATGAAACCACGACTCACAGTCTCGACTGCACCCCTTCCCTTCAGTTTTGGAAATATCCGAGCGACTTTATCATCTCCGGCCTTCTTTATAAATTACCGATTTCTGCCGGTTAAACACTTTTATGTAGTGACATCACGTACATAGACTGAACGCATACCCGGAAAGCCTACCTCTATCTAGTGATGAGTAACCGACTCTCTACCGAGGACATTTTGAGCACGATTCCCCCCGGTGTTAATCCTTTTACTTATCTCCTCAATCTTATCACGCCCCAGTTTCTTGTACCGTTCTCCAGATTTACCACAGCCATCTTGATAATTTTTTTCATCTTCCATCTACTGATCGCAATATTCTGTTTGGTGCTGCTGGTACTACCTTACCTTCGTGGGATTAAAAGATCTCAATGGCTCTTCAAAAGGCTTTATATCCAAAACCACTCTGGCGAAAATGGTTAGCTCAAAATTACATAAAATCTATTTGCTGTAATTTCATTGACCAGACTCTAAAGATGGATTTTGCTTTTGTTGTGGTGCTAGTTTACGAAACCCCTTTGCTCTTTGTCAATACCGGGATCCTAATGGCAATCTCACAGCTCATAGGCTCCATAGCTGCTCAAGCATTCATCTTTATTCAGATCAAGACCTCCCACTCGAGCGATTACGCGTTAAAATCCCCGCTGGCGTCTCCGTGAGTTCAACTTCCAGGGATGCATCAATTGAAGTATGGGACGTTGAGTCTCATGTCGTGATTGTGCATTTATCTGCTGAAGTATGGGCGTCATGTTTATGTGCGAAGTTCTCATTTACTGGAGCTTATCGCATTGTTTTTTGGTAACAATGTTAGTTGGTCGACTTTCCAAAACCCAATCGCAAACGGTCTAAGCTGACTACTAATTTGACATAATGAGTACTTCAGCTACTACGATCGCAAGACTCATGGAGATATCACACAAGGCACAAGGACATGGATTTCCCCGCCGGCTGTGATCAATTTTGTATTCCTTAGTTTCCCGATTTTCGTCGTCGCCGCAACTATTGCTCTTTTTACATGGTTATCGTCAGGCTTCACTCACTTTATGGTTGCGGTAGTCAAAGTTCTGGATGCTTTGAGGCAAGGCTCATCAGCATGGGATCAGTTGAAAGTTCCATCAACATCCAGTGAAGAAAAACTCCACCTCACGACACAGTTAATCCAAGTTGTGTCGGAGGCGAAGAACTTTACTACTGACGTCAACATTCGCTCGAAAAACTTGATAAACTGTTTCCACTTGGTCCAATGTGTGTTATTAATAATAATCTGTACAACCTCCCTAGTAAGCACTCTAAGTTTTGTTATGGGGTCTCCAACAAACCAGGCCCGACTATCTGGTCTGATATGTTCTGATATTGTCATTTCCTTCTAGGTTTTCATTGTTTCCTTTTGGGTGCTGGTTCACAAGTTCCGAAGAAGACATCGCCAATCAGACAAAGCATCATCACGATCAATATATCTTCGCCGGTGGGGTAAACGAAATAATTCAAGAAATGCAAGTGGAGAACAATCTACTACAAGCAGCAATCTGAACCCCAGCTTCATCGATGTTGTCAAGTCAGATCGCCAATTTTGTATGTTTGTGCAGTGTACGACTTCATATGTACCACTTTGAAACCATGCTGACTATCGCATGCGTAGTGCACCTGGCCCTGAGGGCGATCTCTATCATTATTGCGATGCTCACTACAATTTCCCTCTTGCTCTTGGGGATTATAAGAACGGCGGATGTTGTGAAATAGTGAGCGCGACGCATACTCTCCTGTGTTGACGGCAATGGACTAATCGAAAAGAATCGTACATTCTTAGCCCTTACTGGCGAGGTTTGTCAACCTGGCTGACGACGGTTTCTGGCACATGGGCTGCCATCCCAATTGCCTGGCAATGTGTGCGTTTTCTCCATCAATATATGCTGCGTGCGCTTGGATTATCGTGTCTGATCATTCTGAAGGATGATTTTTTTAGTGGAGGCTATACCAGGAACAATCAGGCGGGGCGTCACAAAGTCTATCAAATTCGAATGGCACTACTTTGATAGGGGTGTCGGGCAACAAAAACGCAGATCCTGGGCGTCCCACACAAGACGGTGCGGAAACGATAGAAATCAAGATTGAACTTGACCCAAAGGCCATTCATCCCACCGAAACGTATGAGAAGGAGTAGCATTTCTGCAGTTTATAAACCACATCATATATGCTGCCCAGGGCTCCCCCGCGTCTACATATGTCGACTGAGTAAAACACGATAATTTGCATGACTTTTTCATTCCATATGTATTTTTTTGTATCTACAGTAGAAGGTTGAATGACCACACAGGTTTAATTTCTTCCACGCTTCTCAAGCTATGTCTTAATCTGTTGGCTGAAGTTCAAATTCAACGTGTTCGAAATTGAAAACAAGTTGATTGCAACATATCAAAATCAGGTGTGATATTTTCAGAGACTTGCCCAATCATTTTGATGCTGGTTTCAACACTCCTGCAAAAAGTTAGGTATGTGATACCAAATTTTGAACACCCATCAATTTGACTGGTTGCCATCTTAGATGTGATTCATATATTTAATAAATGTTTTTAAAAAACCAACCAAGTCACATTTGTCTCCATTAAGGGAAAGAAATCTAGAACAAGGAAATGGTTGGATCAGAATGACCCACAAGAAGTCAAGCTCATATTTGATTTTAACAGGTTGCAAAACAAAAAAATTGAGTGGAAATTTGGCATTTCTATTTTGGTAATCTCAAACAATAAGAACAAATCTCCATGTTAAGTTTTCCGAGTCCATGAGCATCCATTGGATACCACAATGCACTGACCATCATGTGGATGCTTGATGTTTGGCACTTGAGGTCTTATCTTGAGACAAAAAAACACTGTAAATTTGACTAGAGATGGGCGCATTGGATCCGGATATCCGGTCTCTTTTTCCGGGGAAAGCGGCATCCGCACCCGCATCCGCACCCATCGGCGGATATCCCCCCGCCTACAGCGGGTATCCGAGCGGATATCCTCGGATACCCGCCCTCAAATCGACCCGTGGTGTACCTCGACGGCTGGAAGGAAACCGGCTGGAAAGGTTGCCTTCCAGCCGGCGAGGTACATGTACCTCGCCAGCTGGAAGGGTTTCCTTCCAGCCGTCGAGGTACACCACGGGTCGATTTTTTTTCTGAGCTCGCGTTGGCTTGGCCCCGCAGTCAAATTTAAGTTGGCCCAGGTCAGCCTCGACCCGCATCCCCTGTATCTACCCAAGTCGCGGGCCCGACGGAAACACTGGGTCTGGCCGACACATCCCTAACCCGAGTTCCTTGATGGAGCAGCCAACCCTCCCGACACAGATTTTGTCGGCTGGGTTGGCTTGACTGGAGTCGTTCGATGGTGAGCAGCTGCCCTAGCCGACAAACTTCAACCATCGCAAGCAACCCAACGAAGGCTGATGGTTGGGCCGACTCCAACTCTCAGCGGCCATTGCTGCCCTCCCCTCAAGTCCGCGGCTCGCTCGAAAACTCTCGTCGCCGATTGGACACACCACCAACACCACCAACTCAAACAAAAAAATCATGCCGGATCAGAAACTGTCGCACACACCAGAGTTCGAGATCCCACCCGTTCCTGAGGCTGTTTCAGCACCCCACTCACCTCATCAAACCGAAACCGGACACCATGTGATGGCTCCGACCGAGGACACTGGTGATTTGGAAGAAAAACTTGTGGTGGCTCCAACCGAGGAGCCTGCCAAAGAGGTGAAGTCTAGGAAGGCAGTGGTAGGTACTTTCTCTATAATATCATGTAGCTATTGTACCTCATAACTAATACACTCTTATCTTTTGATTGGTTCAGAGAAAAAATTCCACTGAAAAGCAAGTCCGTCGAAGCCGTCGTATCTTCGATCAATCTCACGGGGACGGAAGCTTTTCTGAATCGGCCGGTTACTTCTTGAAGAACGACGGGCATCAAGAAGGCTCGTCGTCCAAACGCCAACAAAAATGAAACCGCTTCATCGCCTACTTGCATCAACATCAACAAACCAAAACAAAACACCGATTAATCAATGCTTAGCTCATAAAAACTGTATACTCACGAGTCACAACTGTACCATTCCTGTATCAAAGTTCACATCAAACTCGGATCCATTGTTGTTCTTGCCATTGTGGATGACTTTTTTCTCACTTTTTTTTCTTTCTGCTCGACAATTGATCCCCACTTCTTCAATCCATCATGCAAAGTATTGACCCACTGAAGCGGTCCAGGTGAAACAAATGTAATTTCTGAGAATGTACGATGCCAAGCGGCCGATGAGAGCGAAGCTATATTGACGATGTATTGATCGTGGTCTGTGTGTGTTAACTCCAGCTTCTTCTTTTTACTTTTGCGTCGCTCAACAAATCCATCCCCAGTTTCTGTTAATTCACATCCACCATTGTGGCAGTTGTGCTGGACATTCAAACCAGCTTTGACATTCTATGAAAAAAAACAGTTTGATATCAAAATAAGATCAAGCAATGAATGGAATTATCTTACTTGTGAGTTGACAAAGGTGGATTGAGGTGTTCTTTGGATCTTCCTCATTCTGTAGAAACTATCTTCATCCATTTTTTGAAACAAGTTTGTGTGAATAAAATAAGCACTTTTGTGGAATGGCTTCTGCACCTGCCAGATGGATTTGATTGATCCAATATGTTCAACTTCTTGAGTTTGGCTGGCATTGAACTACAAAAGAAGGGAAGATATGATTTAATGCCACAAAGAGAACTTTCAACTGTGTCAAAAAAAGAGAATGGATAAATACCAAAATGAAATAGTTTTTCTTGAGAACTTGCTTTTCATTCAAGATCAATTCAGATATTTGTTGAATATTGTGGCCACGATAGGAATTCTTCAGGTCTTCAGGAGTAGGGATTTGTTCATCTTGGGGGACTGAAAGTTTCTTAACAAAAGGATAGGTGATTTTCTGAGGAGAAGATAAAGAATTATTATAGCCCAAAGTTTGCTGGATTAAGGGGTTATTTTTAAATATATTTGTGACTTGGCTGGAGGATTGCACAAATTTATTTTGTTTTTTGTCAAAGAAGAAACCACCAGAGATAATTTGAGAAAACACATGGTAATTGCAGAATGTAATAGCTATATCTTGACCGGGACTTTGGCGATTGGAGTGAATTGAAGCATTTCGAAGAATACCATTATAACTTTCAAATTTTTCTGTTGCAAAAAGACATGCAGGACCAAATCGAAGGATGGAATCTGGAAGATGAAGTAACATGTGGAATTTGGGTTTATTAACCCATTGGGCAGAAGCTTGAATCATGTGATTTAAAAATATATCAATATGATTCTTCAAATCAGAAATATATTCTGTCATGTCTTCAATATGAGTTTGAAATATTAAAGAGCCCAGGAGACAGAGTGAAGACCAGATATCAATCTCAGATGGGGTCATGAATTGGAAGAAGACGAAGGGAGCTGCTTGAAGAATTATTCTGAAATCTTTGCCAACTAAACTTGAAGAATATTGAACCAAACTGATGGGTCTAACGGAAGGGATATTGAGAGAATCGGTGTTGAAAGAAGTCCATAAGGCTGTGAGATCATCCTTTTGCGTTTGGTCTAATCCCTTCATGAAATCTCTAAATAAATACTTTACGGCACCAAGTAAAAAAACATGCAAGACTTCAACCGGAGTATCTTCGACCATGTCAAAACCTGAGAGCAAAAAACCAGAGGAAATAAAAATTTCAGCAAAAGAATTGATAGAAAACCCTGAAGGAAAGAAATAGCCAAAAACAAAAAACCTTTCAGCTCAAAGTAAGGATTAAACATTCTTTTAGGTTCCTTATCTTCCATATCAACCAATTCTTGAGGAACCTCTTGATCCATATCAGATGATAATTCTTCTCCGTCTTCAAGTAGTTGCACTTTTTTGGCGTCAAATTTAAATAATTGTTTGGCAAACTTTCGATTGATTTGATCCCGTACACCCAAATCAGCAGATTTCTTGTCTAGTTTATCCAGATTAACAGTTTCCTTGGCGTGCGTCCACAGCTTTTTGGAGTTTTCTTTGGTTTTTTCCATAGTTCGCAGTTTATTTGGGCACTATTTCAGAAAACAAAGCAAGATTTCAAAAACGTCAAAAAAAGACATTAATGAATAAAATCAAAAAAAAGAACAAGAAAATCAATACATTTGATCCATGCAAGTTTTTCTGGGTGAATTGGCAAACATATGGAAGCTTCTTTCTGGCTTTCAAGCTGGACGAACTCAAATCACAGCATCGGCAAGGGTTGAGAGAATTTCCAGGAACTGGTGTGTTGGTAATCTCAGCGTGCATTGGAGAATCAGCCAGAAAACATAAGACACTAGTCATGACATGAACTTCTTGACAGATGGTGCTATCATATGATGTGAAGCCATTGATAGCCATGTCACTAAATTACAAAGAAAAAAAAAATCAAAATAATGATAAAAATCACACTGGTGCATTCTAAAATGAAAAGACCCACTTTAGCTGTTCAACAACCATATCTCCTAACTCCAAAGCGCCAGTGATGTTTGATGTGCAAAGAAAATGGCAATTGGCTTGCTGATTGGAAATTTTAGGTGGTAAGCCGGAGAGTGTAAAGTAATAAGAGATGTGTTTATTCCATTTCTTAGATTTATTTCCAGATGTGTCGTCACAGTATAATGTGATGGGAACGTTTCGTAGGATTTTTCCATCTGCTTTCTTCCTCCAAGGATTTGGTAGGATGATGTTTGAATTCCATCCGCCACAATCATTAATTTCTTTTTTTGATAAAAAACAAGTATCAAAAACCAACATTAACATGGATGAATGTGTAACTTCTTTGTTGAAGATTTCTTGAACTCACCACTAATCTTTCCTCCACAACATTCTGATAACATGAAACCATCCTTCATCTTAATTTCCCCATATGTCAGTTTGAATTCTTCAACAGGAATTGTTTCCAAGTTTTCATCATCAAATGAAATTTCATCAGAAATTCCAATTTCAACTGTAGCATGTTCTTTGTTGGATCTGAAAGTTGGGGTAAAACACTTTGCAAAAAGGTGGTTTTGCTGAGAAAGGAAGAAGATTGGGACAGTAATTTTAGAAGACTTCAATTGAACTGGTTCAAAGATGTAGAAGTGTTTTTTGTTTGATTCTACCATTTGAACTCGAAGGTCACTAGCTTGATGTTTCAGCCATTTTGTTGACTGAGAAAGCTTGTAGATATTTTTGCCGTGCGCGTCCTCCGGAACAAAATCAATGTGTGGCGCAACCAGAGAGTTCATTAGATCCTAAATAACAACAACAACCCATACGATTCAGCTCGGCTCTTCCCCAAGAATAAAACCATCAGGTGAGTACTCACATTCTTAATCAAATCACTGGCCTTCAATCCAAAAATGGGCTGACCAAAAACGGTTTCTTTCTCAATGACAGTCTGATTTACCAGCGAACGGATTTGGGCTCGCATGATTCATAAGGCTTCCCAGCGGGGAAGATTGATGTAGTTCAGAGTAAAGACGGCCCGTATTTGATGGTACGAGTCGCGCGAGATAAGCTTGTGTAAGTATCCAACAAGCAGTGAACCCATCAAGTACTGTAGAAACTGGAAATTTGTAAGTTACTTCCATTTTCTTTTTCCTCTTATTTAATTTATTCTTACTCACTTCTTTACTCAGAAACGGATACCAGGCTGAGTTGTCAGGTGAAACCTTTTTGATCTTTTCCTCTTCGCGGCGAAATAGAGGGCTCGAATCGTCTAGAGTGTCCATCGGCGGCTCCAAATCGATCTGATCAACGGCTACGCCAACCAAATCCATCCAAGTCGTCTCGGCCTCCTCGTCATCTTCAGATTCTTTGACCTCAAACGTTCCCGGAACGATTTCGTCTATCTCTTTGTCTGTTGCTTTTTCATTGTTGGCTTCCAAGTTCGCCCCGCTAGGATCTTGATTGCAATCGATCACCGGCTCAAGCTGACCAATATCTTCATCAACGATCATCCTTTCGCCAGTCAAAGCCTCAGCCGCCACCCTACGAGCATCCTCTTGCGCATTTCGCTGGTTGTTCAGTTTCACAAGTTTTTGATGCCGTGAGTTTTTACAGTGTCTGTTTCGATCCTTTGTTGACCTTCCCTTACATAGCCAACACTCATATCTTCTCCCCTGTGTAGTATTTCTTTGCGAAAAATCTTCAAATGAGTAGAAAAGTGAGTCTCTTTACCATCAAATTTATATCCAGAACTAAATTGGTTCAAAGCTCACACTTGTAATTTGTATCCATGTTTTGACCAAGTATTTCACCTTCAAAGAATTGCCTCGTTTTTCTTTTCTAAGCGACACGTTTTTTCCACTCATCAATAAAGATCGTAACCAAATTAAATTCTCGACAATCCAGAGGATCGAACTGAAGGAAGAGGTCCGTATCAAACTTTTTTTATCAATTTATCTTGGACCGTTGTCCTTTAATGTTTTCACTCTTTTTTTTTTTGGTTTTAGATTTACTTCAAAAACCGATCGGCATTCATTCCATCTCCCACATTTCCCTCTCCTCAACCTTATCGATCACCCAGTTTTTTGTTAAGTTCAACCAATCGTAAATTTTTCTCTTCATTCTTCTCTCCAATCAAGACTTCCTTCCTCCCTCCCTTCCGATCAAGACTTCCTCCCTCCCTTCCGATCATGTTGAACTTGAATGATCTCATTCAAGGAGATCTTGAAGATCCTGCCACTCAAATTCAGGCAGGTGATGACGATCACTACGATTCATCCTCCGAAGAGCACAATAGTCCGTCTTCCACCCATATGGAAATCACCGATCCCAACAACATGTTTGCTGCTTTACCCTCTCAAGATGTCGATATGACCAATCAATCTTCCTCCTCTTGTCCTAACACAAACATCGAGCAAATTTGCTCCGATCTACAAAACAAATTGAAGCTCAATCCTGAGCATCTGGCGATTGCTCTTATCGGAAGCAAAGTATGTTGATCATCTCTCTTTCCACTTCATCATTTCATTCTGCTCTCGGACTTCATCTGATCTCTTTGTGGTATATCGTTTATAATTTTGACTTTCTTTCTTCTTCCCTGTCACAAGGCTCCTCCTGAAGCAAGACACGCAAGCTTGGTCTTTACGAATGGTGCATATCACCAAATCAATTATCAAGACAACAGTTCACAAAAGGCAGGCTTTGCATATGGGAACACTTTCAGAGTAAGCATTTCGAGCCCATCAATATCTTGTCTATCAGGTTGCTGATTGATCACTTGTGTATTGCGTCTATCTGTCACACATCAATCACCATCAGGACTTTGTGCGAGCTAGTGCTCGGATGTTGTTACTCAAGCCGACCCTTGAGGCATACTCTAACAATCCACACCAAAACGGCGAAATTCCCAAAACACTATTCTACCTCACACTTGTAAGTTGCTCGTCTTTATCTCTGATGTCAGTTCATCGAAGTAACTCTCTTGATGTTTAGGATGCTGTTGAAAAACAGCCTGATGCATGGAAGACCGATCACCTTCCAACCAGTGGACTTCGGGACGATCCAGATGTCCTTAACCGCTATCGTGAGGTCATCGGTGAACTTTTAAAATATCAACGCAGTAATTTGCGTACACTGGTATGTTATTTCTCTGCAAACGTTTTTCAACCTACAGTCAAACCTCTCTAACCACATACCCCTTGGTGGAAAGAATTTGTTATGTGGTTTGGCAGGTTATGTGGTTACAAGGGTAGGCTAAGGGCAAAAATGATAATTTGGTGGACTCAAATGAGTATGTAGTATGGGGGTTTATGCCCTTATACAGGTATGCAGTTCGACAGGTTTGACTGTATATTGATTCTTCTTTTATAGCTCCTAGCAGACATCCTTGTGACCAAGAAGAAACCGGTGGTCGGTGTAATTCCTAATCGTGGGCAGTTGTTGGCTTTGGTAAGTGTTTGGCCGATTGCAAACTGCTATTGGTATACTTACCTTTCACTTGTCCTTTCTAGATTTACGAAGAGCTCCCGCCCAAATCGTCAAAGCTCAACGAGTCGGAAATTAAACATCAAGTCCGGTCAAACTTTGCGATGCGAGCTCGAATGTGCTATGCCCGTCTGGTCATGGTGCATTACTACATTCACAGGTCTAAGAAAGAATCGCAATGGGTTGAAATCGACGAGCGATTGGGTATTCTCCGAGGTTCATCTTTTGATTTCCAAAAGAAGTACGTTTTACACATTTTTCCTTTGACATACATACTATACTCATCGCTACTTGTTCATTCCAGACATGCAGATCTTGTCTTGCAAAAAGATGCGGCACTCTTCTCACACAAGAAGAAATTCTGTGAACTTTCACACGCGGACCTCACCATTCCTACCCTTGAAGATGTTCGAAACGAGCTCGCTGCTACTTACTCTCCGGTTTTAAATGAATAGTCCATCACATCCTGACACCGGATGCTACAAAAAGAACGGACAAAGTTCTCTTTTTTTACAAAAAACTTTCAAAATTTAAATTTGTTGTACTTTTCTTTTTGTTCATCTACTCAGGCGGTTTTGCTGAAAAAGAATCCTGCCAGATCAGATGCCCGAAAGAAATGCATTGTTGTATTCCCAATTCAGGCGGTTTACAAGCAAAAAAAAAAAAAAAACCGCCGGACTGGATCTCACTCTTTCATTTTTTCTGCCTCGGTTTTCACCTAGATCCGGTCGGTTTTTCTAAGATGAAAAACCGACCAATTCTTTTTTTTTTGGCACTTGCATTCTTGCCTGACGTCTGGCCAACGGCAAACTCTTCCGTTGGCCATTGACCTGAAGCCATCGGAGGTAGTCTCACGTGCGGCACTGAGGATACACCCAACCTAAGCCCGGCGTTGGGAAGTTTTGCCGACGGCAGGCACTCACGTAATCCCGGCGTTGCCAGCTCGCCGACCGCGGGCCCCCATGTAATGTCCGCGTGGGAGGGTTGGGCCAACGGCGGCTCCCGACACCTCCCGCATAGAAACACACCAGCCGATTAGGGCGGGGTCGGTAGGGTTGGTTTGACATCGGCTCCGACGTCGGCCCCCGGTTGCAACTAACCCGTGGTGTATATGTACCTCGCCAGCTGGAAGGGTTTCCTTCCAGCCGTTGAGGTACATGTACCTCGCTGACCGGAAGGAAGCCCTTCCTCCCGCCGAGGAACACGGAACTCGTACATCGTCGACTGGAAGGAAGCCCTTCCAGTCAGCAAGGTACGTGTACCTTGCCGGCTGGAAGGAAATCCTTCCAGCCGGCCATCTCCTCTTTCCGGCCTCGGGTATCCTTGGGGATACCCGGATATCCGCCGGGATTTTACGGAAAAGGGGGCATCCGCACCCGCCACGCCGATATCCCCTGGCACTGGCGGGTATCCGCCAGCGGATAGCGG